ATCAGATAACTGACAAAAACTGATTTTCTGCAGTTATCGGATTATTAAGTGTATGTAAACGCATCCCATGTCTGCGATAAGCCATTTCTGTCAGTGCATGCAAGTGGGTTACATCGCTATAGCGAGGTCAACGACCAACTAGCCAGCTAGTTTGCTTTATTGCAGCTATGTCATTAGAAAAGTAACCTCTATTACCATAACCAGAGGAAATAATTCAATTTTAAACACAACACATGATTGCTGACCTACTGCCTAGTTACTGTGACAACTGACAGCGTACTTCGTAGCTTGTAGCTAAGTAACCAAATACCTACAGCACTAGAAGTAGATCTCTGAGGTAACTGGTTAAAGACTACTTTTTCCTGTGATAAAGTAGTATAATACTTTAGAACTAAACCCAATACAGTTTTAGAGAAGTAAATATTCATTTTTACCATATTATTTTTTTTGCTATAACTAGGCCAACACTGTGTGTGAGTGCATGTGTTAACGTAGGGGCGAGTGTGTGTGCTGTCATGTGAGAAGCCCACATGTGTGTAGGCGTGTGTGTGTGTAATTATGATGCGTGAGGCTGCATACACCGCATATCTTGATTTACTGAGCCGCGCTGCATTTCAGACAAAGGTGTCAGTGCTGCGCGTGTGCGTGTGTTTGGGATGAATGGCGGCCATTAAGGCTTTTTACAGTGACGAGCTCTGCCGCTGATTTGCATGGCGAGCCAGAGGCTCAACTGATTTATCTGTTGGTTTAAGGAGGCCATAAATACTGCAGCTCTTTAATAGGGCGCTAAAATGCAGTCGTACGGTCCGGTCCGCCTTAAATCACAACCATCCACTGTCAGCCCTAAACACTTTAGAATGGGTTTGGTCAGCGTAATGAGGGGCATGGATGAGGCAGACACCCGACCCACGTTGTGCCCACACACACACACTCACTCGCACACAGATGCTTGTTTTCATACAATGTCAGGACTTGGGGTCATACATTGTTCTCTAATGCATTACATATGTAAGTATTTATATGTCATAGTAAAATGTCCTGTATGTTTTATAAATATGTATGTACCTATATGTATTATGACCTATATGTATTATACAGCACCCCTGGTCAAATTAAATGTTATGTTGATTTTATACGCGAATATAAAATTACTTTTAATATGTTAAATTCAGTAAATAAATAGCCATTTTGCACAAAAAGTGTATAAAAATATCATATTTATGTTTATTGTCAGTAGAGATGTAGAGTATTTTATTGAGAAAGTTAAGAAAATTTCATTTTACCAAGAAAGTTCAAACTTTTGTATATATATATATATATATATATATATATATATATATATATATATATATATAATAGAATGTCCCATTTGTGTCATCAATATAGTTAATTAATATAGTATATAATATAATATAATATAGTTATTATTAAATATGATATATATATATAAATATATATATATATATATATATATAAATATAATATAATATAAAAAAATATGAATATTACAGGTGATTCCAAATATTTGAAGGGTAATACATGTGTGTGTGTGTATATATATAGATAGATATATGTATATACACACCATTCCATTGTAAAATGGCTTTTTTATAAAGCACTTTAGAAGTACTTTTATTCAAAACAAAAAATAAAATAATTAATAAAAAAGCAGAACATTCTTGACCTGAAAATGTACAAAAACAAAAACAAACATACACACTCTCCTCAAACAGGCCCTATTGTGGTATAATCCATTCTGACTGGCCCCACAGGACACGCTGTAGGCAGCAGTATGAGCCTCATTGTGCAGACATGAAAAATGCAGACTCTCTTTCACGCTTCTCATCTGTGTTCTCTGCTCTTTTTGATTGTGTGATGTCCTCTCTAGTGTGGGCGGGGGCAGCGTGTGTGCGCGGTTAATGGCGCCATAACACAGTGCCGCGCTCTAGTTACTCACTCACTGGCTTCGATGGCCGCATGTTCCAAAACGAGCCTGAATAAGAGGTGACATCATCTCTGCAGGTTTGGACCTTACACCAACAACATGCACTCGGTGGCAGCTAGAGGTGGGAGCATTCAACGTGTGCATAACTGAGTCTCTGCATGTGTATGAGTGTGAGGTATGTGTGTGTTAAGTGTGGAGGTGTGCAAAGGTCAGAGATCAGTCAAGTCAATGGACTGTCCACATTGAGTCCAGACCTCAACATTATAGACCAACCAATCAACCAACTTCTAAGACTGAACTTTGGAGGTGAAAAAATAAGTCTCCCAAACAGAATGGAAGGCACAGAGTGGACACACTAAAAACTGAAAAAAATATATTATATTAATAAACATATATTTGCCTTTTTTGAAAAATGAATGGCCGTTTTGACTTGAAATGAAACAAATGAATTGTGGTTTTTGCACAGTGTGTAAAGGTGTGTGTGGTATATGTGCAGTGTGAGTGTGTGTGTGCGTATGTGTGTGTGTGTGTGTGTGTGTGTGTGTGTGTGTGCAGACAGAGGGAGGGTCACTCATTTCCTGTCCGCTGGACGTGCTCCAAGGCCGCTCTAACGAGCCAGCATGGATTTGGTAATGACCCCTGTGCCCTAGGAGGACATTCTCGCTGCTGTCCTCTATCCCTCCACTCTCTCACACACACTCGCACACGCTCATATACACACTCACACACTCCTCATCCACTGCTGCTCGGTCATTAAAGCGTCTCCCTTAAGAGGAATTTAGCAGGTAGAGACTCGGTCATGTCAATCTGAGGGATTCATCAGGGAGTCCATTTAAGAGTCGCTTACAAATGCAGCTTCATACTGAAAGCTCTATATGTGTTTTCATCTGTGTCCGTTAAAGGTGGGCGATATGGCGAATATACAGCATCAAGATACTGACTCGCAGATGTTTTTGTGGTATGTGATATGCATTGCAATATTCTGCATAGTTGGAATGCATAAAATGCCCAATAATAAATTATAATAATTAATAAATTCATAAGGAACCCTTTTCTTTACTAAGGAACCCTTGAAGAATAAGAGTAACTTATTCTTCTTAAGGGTCACCCCCCCCCCCGCAAGCCACTGGGGGTACACACTTGAAAACAATGGTTCTTCAAGGGGTCTTTAGTAAAAAAAATGGTTCTATATCTACCATGAACCATGAACACTCAAATAACCTTTTGTCTGGCTAAAGTGTTCTTCACGTTGTGAAAAGATTGTTCAGATTGATGGAGAATGTGCTGTAGAACCCTTTAGAACCCTTTATGGTGCTATATAGAACATTTTCCAAAAAGGTTCTATATGGAACTATCTGCAGCACATTCTCCATCAATCTGAAGAACGCTTTCACAATGGAAAGAACCCTTTAGCCAGACAAAAGGTTATTTGAGTGCTCATGGCTCTATATAGAACCATTTTCATTACTAAGGAACCTTCGAAGAATAAGTGTAACTTATTCTTCCTGAGGTCACCCCCGTGCCACTGGGGGGCTGTAAGTATGTACACACTTAAAAAAGATGGTTCTTCAAGGGTCTTTAGTAAAGAAAATGGTTCTAAATGGAACCACGAACACTCAAAGAATCTTTCGAATGATTAAAGGGTTCTTTCGCATGATTAAAAGGTTCTTCAGATTGATGGAGATGGTTCTATTCGAAAAGGGTTCTATAAAGCACCAAAATGGTTCTTCTGCTGTTACAAGCTTGACATCGTAACAGTAGAAGAACCCTTTTTGGTGTTACATAGAAACGTATTCAGAAAGATTCTACATGGAACAATCTACAGCACATTCTCCATCAATCTGAAGAACCCTTTCCTTTGATGTAAAGAACTCTTTAATAATGCAAAGGGTATTTTGAGTGTTCATGGTTCTGTATGGAACCACTTTCTTTACTAAGGAACCCCTGAAAGACCATCTTTTTTAAGCGTGTACTTTTAAAAGTATATATAACATTTATTTGTGCATTGAGTCCAGATATTTTCATATTTTTTCTTGAATTTTATGCCGATTATTTTACATTACTCTGCTAAATTCAGAGACCACCCTTCATTCATTGAATGCCTTTGGTATTATTTGGATTGTGAGAAGCCAAAAACGCAACCAACTTCTAAGACTGAACTTTGGAGGTGACATATTTAGTTGTTGATGCTTCTGTTTTATTTTCTGTTCAATCTGTTTTCTGCTCTTATCCTAAAGCTGGAAAATGAATGACTTGTATTTAATGGCCTCTGATATTTGCCCAGTACTGTATAAAGATATGTCCAGGGAAATAAGGCATAATGGACTGAAATCCAATCAGCTGCTTGTTACTGTGCAGTTTATTCACTATAGACTGGTTGTTGTTATTTACAGGCTGGTCTGAATCTTATTTTTTTTTTTTTAAATTAATAGTCAGTCAGTGTCAAGTCTGCACTGCAAATATTCAGAAAATCATATTTATCATGCAAATAGTGAGATACAATCAAATTGCCCACCCCTAGTGTACAAATCGTTGATTTAACCCCTTAAAATACCAGGTTTATTACATACTAAAGCTTTTTATTCAGTAACTACAGGGACTTCAGTGCAAACTGGCTGAGCTAAGACAGTATTCCTGATCCAACACCATGTCTCAAATCCAATAACGAGAGTAGAACTACTGTTCTCACTGCTCAAAATGTATGCAGTTATGAATACTTTATCTTATAGTGAAAACGGATGAAAGAACTGAGAGAATAGTGAAAGGCCAGCAGAGGAAGCAGAGAAGTACCTGCCTAGCTGTCTTTGTGTGTATTTATGCTGTATTACTTCCATACTTTCATTACCGGATCGAAATCGTTTAGGGTTTAAAGCTGGATGATGTCTCACAGAATATCACCAAGGTGATCTGACCATGAGTGTGTCCAAAACTGTACAGGTGATGATAAGCTCTTCACTGTGAGTACCTGTGTGAGTCTACAGGTAAGCGGCCATCCTCCGTTGCCTGGCAACCCTGCAGGAGAGACAGTAGTAGAAACAGGGGAAGGTGTTCTTACCTGTCGATGATGACCGGATCTGACGGCGTCTCGTTTCGGTTTCCGCAGCTCTTTTTGTCGCAACACCGACTGCAAAGAGAAAGAATAAAATAGTAATACAAACACAAGCAGAAATGTTTGCCTGATGAACGAATATTAATACATACACAAATAGCGCTCCAGACATCCTTAAACCCAGCTAGAAAAATTGGTACTATAGTGGTAAATGATGTCAAAGGGGAATTCCACCCATTTCCACCAAAATTTGATCATTCACTCAGTGAGATGTAAACAAAGTCATTCAGAGTGATTTGACGTGAAGCGGTTCATTGGAGTGGCTTACAGACTCACAGTGTTGGAAATGGGAACCAGGGGTCAATAGGTCAACGTAAATATAGCCATTTTATTTACAAAATGATAACCTACAGATCTTCAGATTTTTTTTAATATAGTAAAATATGTTTTCTTTAAGGACTATTTTGCCTTCAATACACATTCCATGTACCAATCTACCATTAATGGCTTTAAAAAAATATGTTTATATCTCAAAACTATCATAAAACTATATCATAGGCATCAGGCAGTGTATTCAGAACTATTTCTTGTAATACCTTCATGTTAGGTGGCTTTGAATATTGAACATTTTGGACGGTTCCTATCACACAACTTGGTTCACATTGTGCATAAATTTGGAAAAAATGGTGCAATGCCATTTTAAGATGGTTTATATTATTCAGATGTTATAATATCGGCACATAGTGTAGTTCTAAACATATGTAGTAGATAGAGAGTCGTAATTCACAACAAAAACACTGGTGTAATAACACAGCACATAGCTAAACAAACACTAGGTCTACAGTATACAGTGGTAAATTACCTGGAATTGCACTGATATAATAACATAGGTACATAAACTAGCACTTAGTATATACTTAGCACATACCATATAAACAAGGTATGTACTGTAGTACATACTGTGAGTATATACAGTGGTGAATTTACTGTAACTTCGCTTTTCAGCGCGGTTTCAGAGTTGTGATTCATAGTGTTCAGCTGTTTCATTACTGGTCCAGTTTGTCTAGTTTCTGCAGGTTTCATAACTCCTGCTCCAGTTCTTCTCAGGGCACTAGAGAGGCGGCAGCGTAGAAGCTGGGCTGAGTCTCTCTCAAGCTGGCTTCTGCCTGACAGGTCGCCCTCTCTCTCCTCTTGCCCCGTTCTCCAGCTGGGCTGGGCTCATGCCAAGGTCACTCAGCCAGCCTGTGACAGTTTGGACAGTGCCCAGAGATGTCCTGGTGCAGCGGCCGCGTCCCAAACGCCCCTCTCCGACACTGCCATCACCCCTGCCCTTGCCCGTGCCCTCGCCCCAGGCTGGCACCTCATCTGGTGGCATGTGGCTCCCCTAAATACGACTACCAACCAAACGCCTCATCCTTGGCCAGCCAAACTGCCGTTGCCACTGCTGTACCCCACTGGAGAAGCAGGCCAGGCTTTGGTTCCAGTTCAATTATTGTCATTAATTACAAACTATGGACAATTAATGTGTAAAGGGGATTGTATAAATACAGTCAGATAAAATATAATTGTGTAAAAGATATAATGGCCAGCACTGAACGATATAAAGTGATTGCTGTTAACGTGGATTCCCAGGCAGTTCCAAATATATCCCTCTTTATTGTGAATTTGACAAACAATTCACAATCAGGCCACAAATGCAAACTAATCAGTCTTTATGAATCATATTTTGCACTGTTTGATCTATGAACCACCCTGAAAACACCAACTTGGTCTTGTTTTTTCCTCCTTCTGTGTGTGTGACTGTTACCATAGAGCAGTGCCACAATAATTTATTCCCCCAGCTACTTGGACCCATTAGCAAAGTTCCAGGAGACCAATTAGCATTGGAAGCCCAATGGTGCGGCTGTGGTGACAACCTCCTCAAACTGAGAAAGAAGTGTTATAAACAAACTGGACCCCCAGAGCACCAGCCGGCTCCTCGGGGACCCCCTGGCCCCTCGCACACCAAAACAAACCTTGGCAGAGCGTCCGTAATACCGCCTTAATGGCGATCCCCCCGGGGGCGGTCCACACAGGCTAGCACTGGCCCGGGTAATGACGGTGACCCAAACCGCCTCAAAACAAATGGGATCCAACCTCAAGACTCAAGCCCAGGCAATCCAACTCAGAAGCCCGATCCAACCCAGCTTTTCCAGCTATGAGCAAAGAGGGACCACACCTCTCCAAAGCCAGCTAGCCAGTTAGCATCTCCCCACTTTCACACTGGGCCGTCCAGCAGTGGATTTACTTAAGGAAGGAGGAGGTGGATTTATGGCACAAGGCCACAGTATCACATCTGAGCTTAAATAAAACCAGCCTTTCAAAGCCTCCTGAGGGAAGATGATGACTAGAGAGAAAGAGCGATAAGGGGTAGCACAGATAGCTTGTTTGGATACCTGCTACCGATAAAGATGCAGAGAAAGTGAGAGAGTAAGAGACGGCGGAGGAGAGAAACTAGAGGTGTAAATTTCTGACCTCATAACAATTTGATTTGATTCTTTTAGAAACAGTTCAATGCACAATGATCCCAAATTTCACCATGATTTAATTCAGCCGAATTAGATTATTTTGGTACAATACTGAGTATTTTTCCAAAAAAATATACTGGATACTTAAATGTGGCTGAAAGATTTATTTACAAAATACACAGAAAATATACTTTATATACACAATATCCTTAGCTTATTTCTATTAAATAGCCTGAAACTTTTATTTTGTCCAAGAAACAGTACATTTTTGAGCAAATGCGCTTTATTATAATCAATCATAATTCATTCTAACATTCCAAAACCTGATGCAGTGGAATGACTGCCTTCAGATCAATGCTTCATGATGCATTGATTCACTTTTACGCCTCTCTGAGAAACAGAAACAGAAACAGAGGGAGAGAGAATGTCAATAGAGGGCTTGTTTTCAAAGGGCAAGTGTTGTAATTACCCAGACGGGCGGGTGGCGACTGTAGCCAGGGCTAGTGATTGGAAGCAGGGCCGTTTGGCTAAGGGACTCGCACTGCCTGGCAGTCTGCGGTCCATCCTGGCTGCGGAGCGGGCGGTCAGAGCCCAGAACCCACCCCCCCTCCACCTCCATGCCCATGCGCCAGGCTCTCAGTGCTACTCCTTGCCAGCTAGCCTCTGCCATGCCTCATTTGGTGATTTGGGGTGCCAGTTTCAAGCGGCGCGAATAGCTGGTGAGAGGACCTTGGACATCTACGGCCAACAGAAGCCTCATCCCATGACAAATCACTTCCTGCCTTTTCAAAACAGACAACAGTTGTCTCATTAAAAATCAAGTCTTGTGGTTCAGTCTCGTGGCTAGCTGTGTTAGCGGCTAGTCTGTAACACTGTGAGGCTAATTAATCAGTCAAACCCACTCTTTTAGTTTAATTGCTGCATGTTTACTGGCCTTAACCAATAATATTAATTGAAAATCATTGTTTTGTAGTTCAGGTGGCTAGCTTTGTTAGCACTAGTCTGTTATGTTATGTCAAAAGGAAATCCTTGTCCTATAGTCCAGTCCTGTGGCTACCCTGCTTGCAAAACCACCACAGGCCAGCATGTCTGGTCATCAGCAAAACCAACATATGCTGTGTTTGGGATGTTGCTATGCTGGTCAACCACTATGACCATGCTGTGCTAGCTGTTAGAGCTAGTCTGTTACAATGTTACTCTAAATGTTCAGGTAAACCCATTCTTTTAGCTTAATTGCAGCATGTCTGCTAGCTGTAACCAATAAAAAATGATTGTTTTGTAGTTCAGGATTGTGGCTAGCTGTGTTAGCAGCTAGTCTGTAACACTGAGACGCTAATTAATCAGTCAAACACTTTATCTTAGCTTACCGGCAGCGTACTCTGTTACACTGTGATGCTGATTAATTGGTAAAACTCATTCTCTTAGCATTATTATTAGTTGTAAACTGTAATTTTCATAGAAAATGTCATGTAGTTCAGTCTTATGGCTAGCTTTGGTAGAACTAGTCTGTTACACTGTCATGCTAATTAAGCAGTCAAACCCATTCACTAAGCTTAATTGCTGCCTGCTTACTGACTTTAATCAATAACATTCATTGAAAATCATTGTCTTGTAGGTCAGTCTTGTGGCTAGCTGTGTTAGCAGCTAGTCTGTACAACTGAGATGATAATTAATGAGTCAAACCCTTATTTTGGTTACCGGCAGTGTACTCTGTACACTGTGATGCTAAATAATTGGTCAAATTCATTATCTTAGCATATTTGCTGCATGCCAAATGGCTGTAACCTGTAATATTCATAAAAAGTCATTGTTGTACAGTTCAGTTTTATCGCTAGCTATGATACCACTAGTCTGTTACACTGTGATGCTAATTAAGCAGTCAAACCCATTCTCTAAGCTTAATTGCTGCCTGTTTACTGGCTTTAATCAATAACATTCATTGAAAATCATTGTCTTGTAGGTCAGTGTTGTGGCTAGCTGTGTTAGCAGCTAGTCTGTAACACTGAGACGCTAATTAATCAGTCCAACCCATTCTCTTAGCTGAATTGCTACATGCTTACAGGCTTTAACCAATAATATTCATAGAAAATGCTTGTATTGTAGTTCAATCTCGTGGCTAGTTGTGTTAGCGGCTAGTCTGTAACACTGAGACATGAATTAATCAGTCATAATTGATTTCGTAGCTTAATTGCTGCATGCCCACTGGCTTCAACCAATAATATACTGGATTATTGATGATAGGTAATGTGTTTTAGCAGGACAACAGCACTTTCCACGAACTGCCAATGTTATTTTAGCTGTATTCAGCACGATCTTCGAGTATATGTGTGTGCGAGTTAGTTATGGGTGCAGAAGTCTTCGCCAGGGACCTGATAAAGAGTGCTATCACCTGGGAGAAAGAGAGAGAGAGGCAGGGGAAGCATGTCTCATCTCTCTCTCATTAGCGAATGGAAACACACCATTCATCAGGGGACGGCTGCTAATAATCACACTCAATCACGTAATGACCGCCTCAAAGTGAGCCGTCATTATGGAAATGGATCCTGTATCAAAATCATCTTGGAGGGGAGAGGCAGGTACTGTCAGGAGAAAAACGGCACCGAGAATTCAGCGCCCGACGCTTTGAGGTTCATAATAAAAGGTTATTTTGGCGGCTAAGTGGAGAAATCCATTTAAAAGGGAGAGACAGTGGTGAGATTTATGTTTAGCAATTTAGGGAGGCAGACAGACTCACTCCAGCAATGGACAAGATTAGCGATATCCACCTCCAACATTCAAAACGTGCTGAAATCCCAATTATGGTTATTACAATTCCACAGACGATACCGTCATATTTAATGCCATGATGTTTAATTCTGAGACAAAGTTTCAGCAAGTTTCTGTGACAAAAGTGAAGCAAATTCACTTCCCATGATACAATTCACCTTTTATAAGAGGTCTATACTTGAATAGAATTGTTATCCGAAAACTCCAGTTAGCCGTATGAATTGTTTATGCATTTCCATCAATGTATATGGGCTGTATTTTGACAGAGTAGATCATAGGTAGCCCGTATCATAATAGATCTTTGAGGAAACATGAATGAATTAATGTAATTTTACTATAATGTATTGTAGATAAATCACAAATTCTTGCAAAAGAAGCTTCCATTTAGCCTTTGTATAGTAACTGTTATCTATCCAGGGGCCCAGTAATGCTCAGGTCCCCATCATTTCTCCTTTTACATCAATATTAACACAGCTCTCGACCTTGGCCCCCGTGCCCAGGTCATCCAGCCAAGATCCTAGCATCTGATTACTCCCCCTCCAATTACAGACCTCCATACCGGCTGAGTCAACTATGGATATCTCCCCTGACCCCCACTGGCCAGGCCTCCAGCTGACAGACCCACCATGAGTCCATAATTACATGGCATTAAAGACGAAGGGTGCTCTGTAATGAGCGAAAACCTGCAGGACCACTCAGTGGAAAGCGGCACAATCACATTGGTCCACATATGGAACCCTGTGGCACACCCATAAGCTGCATGCTAAAACCTGGCTTTCTACAGCCAAACGAGACATATAAATAATCTAAAGCCTAGGTTTGAACAATTATAATAACAAAAACAACGTAAAGTGTATGCCCTTAACTAACAATTTTAGAAACATAACTTATTACTTTATTCTAGACAATGATAATTAAATGTGGCTCAAAATTTTATGTGTGAAAGATGTTATAGTGAACAGGACCAACCTGCACATGATCTCGTGGGTGAGGAGAACGCGGCACATCTCTGGGTTCTTGTCCTGGCCTTCGTAAATGATTGGCTTTGAAAGAAAGAGAGAGAAAAAAATTGCTAGCGTTAAATAATCAACTCTGCAGTGGTAGATTCATACTTGAATAATGCTAATGTTGCGTGAATGATCTTTATCTCAGCCTAAAGTGGCCACACAGCTGATAAGTTAATTTAATTGTGCCTCTGCTGACAATTGGTCATTAGTCATGTTTTTGGGTGCCGCGAACACTGACAGCTTTAACATATGCTAAAAGCTAAATCTGGTCATTAGCATGTGGACGTATGGGGAGATCCAGGAGGGATCCCAGATTCATGCAGTGAAACACCCTCGGCCCTTAAGCTGCCAGATGGTCAGGCGGGCCCCTGAAATGGAGGCTTCATCCCAGGCATCCGTCACGGAGCTGACATAGCTGGCATATATGACGGATGACCAGTGCATATCATAGCAGGCAAGTAATCCACAATCAAATCCCTACAGGCTAAACGTCCAGTCGCACTACCTTTCTGACAAAATTTCACAAGTGAATTTACTTTTGTATCAGTTAAAATTGATGCAGTTGAAGGGTTTGCGTCACAAAAACCACATGAAATTAGTTGAAAATTTGCTTCAAGCACAGTTGGTGTTGGAATTTGTATCGTCAACTACTCTGGCTGTTTTGAAGGGGTTATCTTTGGACAGCAGATTCAAAATATGGATAAATGTCTAGGCAAGATATTTTGAGTAATTATTCCCAACTCTACCACAAATGAATACATAAAAGAAAGACAGCATGGACTGTGGTCAGTCGGGAGTCCAGTGTTTCCTCATTGACATCACAAAGTTGCATACCGCCAGTATTATTATTTATCAGTTTCATCTTTGCTGTTTCTATATGATCATATCTAGTAGGGGTCGATATAAATTTGAGCATAATAGATTAGCAACCTGAAAAAATGCTTGATTTGTGGTTAACTAACCAAAACTATTAGTAATGTCATCTATAAAGCCAATAATAAGAGTAAAACTTTGGAAATAGTGCAATACTAGTGTATATTGTGTATATGTGTATATACTTAGAGTCAGTGTATATATATATTTATTTTTTCTTATATATATATATATATATATATATTTGTATTTAAATTGTACAAAGGGGCTACACACCTATAATATTCACTCACCTTCGCACTTTTGTAAATGTGATGTGACAATAAATGTGATTTGATTTGATTTGAAACTGAACAAAAAAAAACAATAACACTAATCATTTATGCACATGGCAATCCAGTACAGACATGGCTGTATTATTTTACATTCACACTGGTATAACAAAATACTGCAACTATTCTATGTTCCATTAAAAGACATATCATGCTTTGCTTGTGTTTTATAGCCTTTTACTGACACCGCCCAAAAATAACAAATACAAAACACAGCTAGTATAGAAGATGCTAATACAGCATTTAAATATGTTATTATAGGAAAATAATCATACTATACAATCACATCATTCTATGCCTTAAAAAATTTATTTCCCATTTTATTTTTTTCCAGTCGGGGTAATTTTAACACTATAAAGTTGGTCAGTAGAGGAAGCAATGAATTCTCTCTTAACCTCAAACTCCACCTGCCAGCACAGCCATTGACCCAAAAGCCATTAAATGCTGTCCTTTTATTGGCTCATTACTGAAACATCTGCAGGAATTCTGGTGTGCTTCATGTAAATGATACGTAAACGAGGCACTGGTAGACTGGCGCTTGATTTCACGCATTGGGGCTGATTCATCATTTGTTGTTCGAAAGTTTCATGAATCAGACCCACAATAAAATCATTAAAAGTTGCCAAATCTGCCCTCTTCTTTATGCAACATTGATAAATAAGGGCTAATATCACCAACCAATGCTAATGTGATAAATCACTGCTTGCTAATTACACCAAAATGTTTATTCAGTGCTCATCTTGGAACCTTGGAACCTTATGACATCTGCAATTTCATTTGCCTTTGGACAATTGGTCAGAGTCGACCCAGTGCCCTGGGGTACAATACTTTTAGGATAACGACCACTTCAACATTATTGATCCGTCCGCCCCACCATCTCTGCTTCCACCTATGTAGGTCTCTGCTTCTTTATTAACATCCACCTAGTTTAACAGGCGAAGGGGGTTTGGGGGAGTGGGTTTGGCAGGGAGGGGAATGGGTCGATGTTTATATATCATCAGCTTTAATTCACATTACTAAAAGTAGTCCAACCAACCATACACCCTTATACAGTCTGGACATCAGAAATAAGGGGTGGGTCTGTGACCTGATCACATGGTCACTGGAGACGCATTTGAGACACATGGAAATGCCAAATGGCTATAAATCTCGCTGTCCAACTATGACCAGATCACTCAAGACAGATGTTAATACCAAGTGTGAACATAGACTGCATGCGAGTGGGTTCTGGTAAGGTTTTGGTTGAGTTTGGGTTTCAAATTTGCCACTTCCAGTAGGGCCTGTTCAGGTAAGGTCTAAAAGTTGCGGGTATCGCTCCGGTTCAGGCTTTGGTTTCTTGCCTATGCGAGCCACTAGTGTTTGTATGTGTATGTGTGTGTGTTTGAAAGCAGTAGGTAGGGGATTTTACGGGCCCGCATGTCTCTCTTTTGTTGTGCTGCGGATTACAGTCTCCAGTGTGCCGCCTCTGCAGATACATTAAGGCCTATTGATTGGTCTCCGGGGCTGATGCTTTGTCGAGGACCTGGTTGCCATATCGATCTGAGGCAGGCTGACACACCATGACAACAGGCCCTGCTGAGCCAATAGCAGGGATGGGCCAGAAGGGGGTGGGGCAGGGCGGGACTGGGGCAAGGAGACAGTTAGGGTCCATTTCATTATTGGGTGAAGAGGCACGGAGTGGAACTGGACGAGTCTAATGTCAGTGTGACTTTGTTTTGGAGAAAGTTCTTCAGCCTACTCCATAAAGTCCTCCCAGACGGCTTACACTTGTACCTACTCCAGGGAGCACAGGTCAGATGGATAATCAAGGGTTGTAGAACAAAAAATGTGCTGGAAGTCAAGGGTGGGGTGAAACTTGTTGGAGAAACTTCAGTAGGCTTCTCACATGTCAGCATCTACAGTGAAGGGGTTGACTGCCCTGGTTTTTTGTTGCTGTGCACACTCTTGTCACTGTTGCCCCAAAAGTTATGCTTATGTACAGCAATTCTGCATAAAGGTGTACAATTATAGTGATAGGAAACATGGGTCGCAATGTCTACAACAATATGGCTATTTTATTTATAGTCCAAAATGACCAGTGAATCAATGTGGTCAGGTTTTATGTGTCATGTTAATAAAATTATTGAGTGGTGCATCCTAATAAAAAAGGTTCCTCTAGGTGCTATTGTGGCCTAACAACACTCCTGCACCATAAATGGATTAAAAAAATATATTTTTTAGGTCAAATGCATATCTCAAAATATCATGAACAAAGTTTTAGGCTTTAGACAACATTTTAGTAACTGTTTCATATAACATCTTTCTGCAAGGAAGCTTTCGGAGGAACCAGACGTCTGGTTCCTATCACCACCACTGTGAACAATTCCGTTTCTCTTGAACAAAGTATTTCACATCAAACCACTCTGAATGGCTTTGTTTACATCTCAGCGACTAAAAATTGGTAGAATTCTCTTTCAGAAACCTGACGCAAAGCCTCTTCATGATCTCTGGAAGCTTCCTGATGATATCTTCATTTGCCTGGAGAGAAACTTGAGTGTATATCCAGAGTCCACTCACCTGTTTAGTCATGGAGTCTATCAACCGTACATACAGGTCCTGCTCTGTCCTGATGCCTGTAAAAATACAGGAAACAAATCATTCCACTAGAACCACTGTCCAAACTACTCATGCAAAACATAGCCAAGATAAGTTAATAATAATAAATTGTTTAATTTATGCTTCTTTCTTGTACCCGAAGTCACTTTACAGAAGCATTAAACACTTTATATTTGTACATCTCGCACTTTATGTGTCCCAAAATAAAACTGAACTTCCGAGTTCATTCAAAGGGTTTAGTTCATGTATTTTATGGAAGAATACCAAAAATATACTTTTCTGTATATTTCAAATGTTTATTTTTAAAATATTAAGATAAGTAATACTTAAGTATTCAAACATTTCTTGAATGTAATTGAAGTAAATACAACTTAGTTATAACAATAGTTATATTAGTTATATTAGTTATACAAAAACTGGTATATATATGTATATATATATATATATATATATATATATATATATATATATATATATATATATATATGTACACTTAAATTTACTTCACTTGCCAAAATCATTAAAAAAACAGCCTCAAAAATGCTAAACACTAAATGCATTTAATATATATTTAATCATAGCTTAATTACAATAAAAATACACTTAATTGGTCATAAGTTGTTCCAAAATAATACATTGAGCATGTTTTATGATATGTTTTAACTGTAAACAACAAAAGTATGTACTTTTCACATTCTATACACTTTTAAAAAGTACACTTAAGTGCATATTTCTTTCTGAGGCTGCTCAGATAGGAGCTTGGTTTCTGTGCTCCATTCATGTAAACTGAAACAAACCACCTGAGTGCAAGTCTAATTCTATAAAAATAATCATGAGTAAGAAGATATATCTTCTAACTGAGCCTTTCAGAGAACATATTTGCTGTATTATAACCCGTGTGAAGTTTGTGTATAATGCTTGCGCAGTTTGCCTGTCATGCTGCTAGAGCCGTTCACCAATTCCCCCCCTTTTAGCAAAAACAAACAAGGTGCAGCACTGCAGTTTATAAAAATAAATGTATTATTTATGGCATTCCCGCCTTAAACCTGCGAGAGATGGAGCTATTCCCCACCCCTCGCTGTCTCTGCACATCCACACACGGACTCCATATCCATCTTTACTCTCTATTAGCATCGCTCCATGGAGGAAATCCCTGCAGGAAAGCAGAGGAGTGGGGCAGAGAGGCCTGCTGGGAAGGCTACCCACATGCTAATCTCTCAGCAGGACAGTGCAAATGACATTCACACCGGCTCTGTTCTTAGAGTCAGTCTGGCTACACTTCATATGTATGCAAGTAGTGTATATCATTCAAATTTGCAACTGGAGTGTGAACCACTATGTGTAATAACAACAAGTAATGTTTGATTTTAGCAAAACTGCCACTTTCACTATCAGCAATGAGATAAAATAAAAGGGAAGCATGTTTTATATTGTCTGCAGCTCATATTGAAGTCTTAAAGGCATTAGAAAGCTGAGGTGGGGGCAGATGTTCTCACTGAAAGCTGAAATTTGGTCCATCAGTGCCAACAAAATCGCTATATACACTATTACACTATTTATACTACTGATTAGCAATGGGTAAAAAGGTAGGGCTTGTTTTTAAAAGACTCCAAGTTCTCTCAAATGCTGCACTGGAGCTAAAAAGACTGTAGAAAACTGAGGAAGATGTTCCCATTCAAAACTAGAGTTTGGTCCATCAATGTTTCTTCACAACAAAAAGCATCGTTTACACTATTAGTAATGGGTTTAAAAGTCTTTTGAAAAGACTACAGGTCATGTTGAATGCTGCAGTGGAGTTAAAAAGGCTTTAAGAAACCAAGAAAGGGGGCAGCAGTTCAAAACTATGGTCCGTTTGTATATAATCCCAATGAAAAGCATTAGCTATTAGCAAAATTGCTATTTATGCTATTACCAATGGGGAAAAAGAATATGGGCTCTCGAGTGGCACAACTATCTAAGTAATTGTCGAGAGATTGTCTACCTATTGTCAGGATATCCCCAGTGAAGCCATAGAAGCCATCCATGACTTTGCTTTCTCTGAGTTGGTAGGATGGCCCACCCTTCTGTTGTCACTCAGTGTAATGTTAGCCTACATGCTAGGTGACGTAACACAATTGACAGTAGCATTCTCCTACAAGAGCATCGAAAAGACCATTGAAGCTGCATTAATTGGGAGTTAAGGGGTCCTTCACGTGTCTCAGAGGAAGCCCATGGTAGCCTTCACTCTGTTAGTGAGCCAGTTAGCATCGTGCTATAGCCCTAGCTGGCAGGTATAAGCTGGCCATGACTAAATTAGGCGGGAACATTTGATAATAAGGAGTTGTGTCAATCCAATGAAAAGCTCCAACAAAAACTTCAATACTAGTGTATTACCATTAGCATGAATGCTAGCACTAGAATGACATGGAAAGGCCTCTTTATAGCATCTGTAGCTATACATTGAGCCGTTGAAATGACAAAATTCAGGTGGGTAGGGAGTCGATTACAAACTGGAAGTTGTTCCGTCAGAGTATGATCACAATAAAAAAAAATCATGATTTATGTTAGTTTATTAGCAATAAGTTTTAATATTAGCAAAACAAATGGGAAAACTTCTCATGTGCTACAGTTTTGGGAAACTGAGGGGGCTGATACTCTGATTCTCAACTGAAGCTTGGTCCATCAGTGTATGATTACAGCTCTAAGCATTAGCTGTTATCACAATCACCATTGAATCTAACAGCAGTGGGTAAAAAGAAAGGGGAAGCCCACTTTATATCATCTGCAGAGCGCTAAGCGAAGTTAAAAAGGCACTGGGAAACTGAGTAGGGGGGCAGATGTGAATAAAATCACGAACCACTCACAGCATAAACAGATGGAGTCCTCAAGCGCTCTTCCAGATGTGCAGAGACATATTACAGCGTGGAGGTTTTCGCTTTGCTCTGGAAATTGCCTCAGTTAGCACTGGAAGACTCGACGGTTTGTAAGGGAAGACTTACCGTTACTGTAGAGGAGCTGTAACCTGTAGTGGATGCCATTGTTGGTCTTTTCGCCATTATATTCCTAAAACAGGAGGAGAAATAGAAGGGAGATGTCAGGAGCTGGGCATTTCTGTCCTTGTCCATTATATCTGTGGATTGGAAGGGCCTTAATCAGGATTCCTTGGCCCAATCTCATCACCCCTCGCCCCTACCACTTAGCCCTTACAACTGTGAAACTAGGGGTAGGGAAAAATTACAATAACCATTGTATTATCTTAGCTTTAATGTCATTTCAATGTATTATGGCCCTTTTCTTCATAACAAGCAAAGAAAATTGCTAATAGTACGTTGGTTCTCGTTAGCTAGCTAGCTAAATTTCCCATTCCGCCTTAAATTTTGCATTCATATTTACATTCTGGTGCCTCAGACGTCATAACTGCTGCACCATTTAAGGTGGAATGGGAAATTTCGTACAAGAAGCTGGCGAATAGCTGACTTCAGCTTTATATAACTGAAGAATTAGCGGTGGGCAATAATAAATAATTGCCCCCCCCCACCCCCCCTTTTTTGAAGGCCCAGTATCAATGTTCATATCACAGGATTCATTGAGTGCAGGTTTGGATTTGGTTATCAGCTCTCATTTCATATCAGCTACTATTTCTAAATGTTTGCATTCGAACAAAATATACTTGAAATGCAAGTCTGTAAAAATCTCCTGATGCAATTACATTGATAAATAAAACTAATTAAATGCCGGAAAGCTGAGAACTCAGCTTCATCAATGTCCCTGCAAAAGCAATGTATATGTTTAACCTATTTAGGTCAATCTAAAAGCATATGGCAGGTATTTAGTAAGATATGAAATCAAATGATGAATCTTTCCTTTTCGTTTGTGGTCACTGTTCAGCTGCTGCCTGTTAGACTGCATTTGGCTTCAGTTATGCTCAGTTTGACTGAAGTTGAGTGTTACATCCTGCCGTCATTCTGAGCTCAGCTGGACTTTCAGGTTAAGAATTGACTGGTGTTGTGTTTTCCCAAGATTTTAATCTACATGAGGCACATCCTAAACGTGTCTCTTTCATTTTCTCTACCTCTCTTCACTCGCTCTTTCTTTAGTTTTGCTACATCCTCCTCTGTCTCTCCACAATGCCCTTTCTATCTATCCATTCTTTCTATCTATCTATCTATCCATTCTTTCTATCTATCTATCTATCTATCTATCTATCTATCTATCTATCTATCCTTTCTCTCTGTCTATATTCTATCTATCTATCTATCTATCTATCTATCTATCTAACACTCTTTCTACCTCTCTCTGTCCTTCTCTCTCTGTCCTTCTCTCTTCCCCTCTCCCTCTTCATAGCTCTCTCTCTCTATCACTCTATCTCTTTTTCTCTCTATCTCTCCATCACCCTCTCTCCATCGCTCTTTCTCTCTATCCCTCTCCACCACTCTGTCTATCTTTTTTTCTCTGTGTCCTTTTTCTCTCTCTCCATCACTCTATCAATGCCTCTTTCTGGCTCTCTCTGTCTCTATGTCTCTCTCCATCTCTCTCTCTCTCTCTCTCTCTCTCTCTCTCTCTCTCTCTCTCTCTCTCTCTCTCTCTCTCTCTCTCTCCCTCCCTCTCTCTCTCTCTCTCTCATTGCCAAGACTGATGGTGATGTCTTGGCAGTGGCCCAGACTGAAGTTATCGAGTGAGTCTATGGGGGGGGCTTGATTGGGTGGGGGGTGTTGGTGGTCCGGGGGTCAAGGCGGAGGTGAATGGACAGCGAGGACGGAGGAGTGACCGTGCCAGCTGGACACCATCCCACCTGACCGGGGGCGGAGCTGTTCTCTGTAACCTTTTACTGAACAACCCCCGACACACACACACACACACACACACAGTCACACGCAGCGGGCCTAGCAGGACTACCTCCTGACACACACAACACACACACTGCGCGGTTGGCAGGTAGAGCACATTAGCACACGTGAGAGCGAGCAGAAGGTGCTGAGAGTGGAGGAGATGATGCTTAATCATTTGTTCCGTTTAATCAGTTGCATGTGCTTCAGTGCAGTTTCGTGTTTTCATTTTTACCTGCTCCAGTAAACACTCAACAGGGTTGCTTCTCTTAAAAAACTGCAAATGTTGACAATAAATAAGCTAAATTACCCAATATTGAAACCATTAAAGCTCCAAGGAAACAAAATCTGTGTTTTCTTTCAATTTTGCTGTTCTGGACAAACAATAAACAGATCAAATCTCCTGTGAAAAACTTTCTAGTGTCCATTAAATGGTCAATGGAGCAAAATTCTTCTCTGCTATGTAAACTGGGCAGCCCTTATCTTGGGTAGTGCTAATCACATGGCTGATGTGGCTTCCCCCGCCCACACAGCTGTAAAAAAAAAACATGCTCCCTGTTGGTCTCTCTGTGTCATGGTCAGGAAATGTACAGAGAAAAAGCTAAAAACCAAGCGAAAGCTAACCTAGCAAGCATAACTGAGCTATCTAAGTAGCTCTGTCTGGCTGTCGTCTGTCTGTCCATTTGTTCACCTGGCCACGCCAGCATTTCCTGGATGCACATCCAGCAGTAAAGTGAATAAGAACTTTACCTTCTTTAAGATGTCCTAATATAAAAGCTGGACAATGAGTATGTTTGTATGAGTATATTTACATAACATTTTCATCATGAGTTTATTGGCTGGTTTCAAAGCAGAAATCCGATTATTGCCTGATTCATGTAAACCCGAGTTTCCCATTATCTGATGACTCAAGTCCATGTAAATGTGTTGATCGAATTACTGACAAAATCTGATTTTCTGCAGTTATCAGATTATTAAATGCATGTAAATATACTCAGTGTTTTAATGAGCCATAATACTGCTTGGATAAGTAGAGTAATTTCCCCTCACCTGCTCTGTTTTTAATCTGTTTTTTGGGTTGTAGCAGGCTGGGAGGTTGGGCTGAAGGCTGTCAATCATGCACTTATCAGAATATTAGGCCACACCCAGATAGTTCTCAGATAGGTCTAATCAGCTATAAGTCAGCGTTTATCAAATTTCCAGCTTGTTTTTTTTTTCTTTTGCTTTGCTAGGTGTTTAAAATGACACTCAAATTTCCTACCAAACAAATATTTTTCATATTTTGATGTTTACTGGTAAAAGGTGATTCAGAGTGGAGGTGTGAAATGCTCCATTCTAGACAGTCAGAACTGTTCACAATGGTGGTGACAGGAAAGAGACATCTGAAGAGTTTAATGCTCCCTCACAGAAAGTTATTATGCTATGAATACATTGCCTGATGCCTGAGACACTCTTTGCGGTAGTTTTGAGATAAGATTTTGGCCTGGAATTCACAGTGGAGAGGTACAAGCAGGGTAAATAGCACTCAAAGAAAACTTTATTTTAGATCTGCCACTATTTTACATCAACATTACATATAAAAGACATATCGCTGCTGTCAGAACAAAACTTTGTATCTCTGTGTTTTTCAGTTTTTGACACAATTTGAAAGTACCTGTTGTCCTTTACATTGTGTGTAAATTTTATGATGAATGGACCAAAAGAAATGACCCAAAATGACTTGGAAAAAAGTCTGGTTCCATTGACTTACATTAAAAGTAAAGTATGTTTTTTCCTTCTCCTGTAAAGTTATCAATTTTGGAGATAAAGGTTTTTTGTTCCGACAGTAGCGATATGTAAGTTTACTGGTGGTTCTGGATAGTAAATAAAATGGCTGTATGTATGTTGTAGGCAAGGTTCCTATCACCACCACCACAAATGATCCTAAAAAAGAAGAAAGAAGCTTAACAAACTTCATTTCCTCTGATGATGCTGGATGTATTAAGATACTGCACTGCAATAGAGAAGTCAGTACTTGGAGTTTTGGGCCTGATACTCTTTTGTGAGGCTACTTTTGCTTCTACTTCAGTAACTGGTTATTAAAATAACAATATTTTTACTGAAGCATGGGTGTAAACGTCTTTACATATCTCTGGTTTGTAAAAGAAACTTGTAAAAGAACAGTAAGAGAAAAAAAACAATAAGACTGAAAAAACACAAAAAATAACAACTGTTTGTGTTGGGATAAGTCTTGTGATAATCTAAATCTACCAATTTCTCTTTTTGATTTTTTTTTTTCTTGCAGTATTTTGTCCTGGTCTCTTCGCTGCCCCCTACAGGCTGCTTTGTGTACTTCTGCTCTAACACATACAGTGGCATGAACACATTGCTGTAGCATAAAGACAATAAAACTCAGCAAAATAGATTAATTGATTAATTAAATGCAAAACTGGGCACTCTTAGAAAAAGAAATAAAAAGAAAAAAGAAAATGCCTCAAAAATGAAGCATTTCAAAAAAGGCTATGCACATTATAAATAATGTGAATTGTAGTTCCCTCTAAAAATACGGTGTACATTAATTTGAACTGTTAATAAAATACAAATGCATCTTTACAGAGGGTGGCTGTGAAAATGTACATCATCTATGTAATAAGATAGTAATAACTATGTAATGTCTAATGTATAAAAAGAGTTAACAAAGTACAGTTGATTTGTTTAAAATAATACGTAATTGGAGTTATAAAAGAAATGAAATGTCAAAATGAATTGCTTTGGTTGCTTGTAGGTTTGATGCAGCCAAACATTCCAGCCAAAGGTCCAGAATATATCATCCATTTCCACCTTTGACAATATTTTACGTCCGGCCTGCATTCCTTCTCCCACTACAACCAACATGTTTTGGCATTCTGGTGTTTTTGCTACTCACTTTGTCCTTTTCCACAAAGTCCACGTAGGAGGTCCTCTCGATCTCCACAGGCTGACCCTGCCGGTCATACAGAGCCAGCACGAAGTGGAAGAAGTTGGACTTGCGCAGGTTGGAGGGAGGCTGCTTCTCATAATGAGCCCGAGCCAAACCAACCCCACTGTACGGAGAGAGAGAGAGAGAGAGAGAGAGAGAGAGAGAGAGAGAGAGAGAGAGAAAGAAAAGAGAAAAAATTAGTGAGCAACCTGTAGTTCAACACACTGTGAAAAGACTAATATTATTCAAGTATTCATCTAAAGACTTACTAATCAATAACTACTATGAAACTAAGAAGTAACTATGAGGAATTTAAAAGCCTAAAAAAGGATTTTGTTTTGTTTGTTTGGTTTTGTTTTGTTCAATTAATCACTGTTTTCATTGCCATGTTACTTTATACCCATGTCTTTAACCACTGCAACCATCTTTCTGTTAAAAATACTATACCAGCATATTCTTATTGTATTTGGAGTGTACAGTACAGAGAATTATTATTATTATTATTATTATTATTATTATTATTAGAATGATATGGAGAGGGAAAGAAAGAAAGAAAGAAAAAAAGAAAGAAAGAAAGAAAGAAAGAAAGAAAGAAAGAAAGAAAGAAAGAAAGAAAGAACAGAAGAAAGAAAAGACAAAAAGAAAAGATACAGAGAGAGTAAGAAAGAAAGAAAGAAAGAAAGAAAGAAAGAAAGAAAGAAAGTAGTAGGAGTAGTATTAATTAGTATTAATAATAATATTATTAGTATTAATAATAATAATAATACTTTCCATTGACACCTGTCAGCTTCTCTGTTCCTAAGACTCCAGGTTTATTGTGTTGTTGTTATTGTTATGTACAGATGTGTGTTTGTATTATGTTTGTATACTCATTGATTTAGAACAGTGCGCTCAGTGTGTGAGTCTGAGCTCTGATCAGTCTGATACACAGTGAGAGGAGAAAGAACACACAGTGAGTGGAGACGTTTCGGAGGGAAGAAAAGATTTTTGCTTTGTATAGGTGTGTGTGTGTGTGTGTGTGTGTGTGGGTGGGTGTGCTCCATGCTCTCTTTTGTGCCCTTCTCCCCTCTCCACCACATCAACAATCAGACTTTGGCCCCCAGAAGGCTCCGTCTGCTTCCTCGGCTGACGGGCGCTGCTGGGTTTCGGCTCGTTTTTGGCAGGCGCTCTGCTCTCCCCTGACCTGTCAATCAAACTCACTCCTCTCTCAGGCCCGCCTCCCCCGAGCCCGGCCAATAGAAATCCTCCAGCCAACCCGACGTCCGCGCATCAGCATCGATCAGAGCTTTAGGGCGGTCCAGAGAACCACACACACATACACACACACACAAACACACACACACACAAACACACACGCACAAATACACACAAACACACACACACACACACACACAAACACACACACACACACCTACTGCAGCTGACAGCAACACTGACCAGATGCAGAGAGAGACAGAGAGAGAGAGAGAGAGAGAGAGAGAGAGAGAGAGCGAGAGAGAGAGAGAGAGAGAGAGAGGAAGAAATGGAGAAGAGGAGAGAGATGGAGAGAGAGCGGGAGAGAGAGAGAGAGAGAGAGAGAGAGAGAGAGAGAGAGAGAGAGTAAAAGAAAGGTATATGAGAAAGAAAGAACAGAAAAAAAAAGAGAAAGATAAAAAGCAAGTGAAAGAAAGAAAGAAAAAAGAGAATAAGAGAAAAGTGCATGAGAAAGAAAGAAAGAAAGAAAGAAAGAAAGAAAGAAAGAAAGAAAGAAAGAAAGAAAGAAAGGAAGAAAGAAAGAAAGAAAGAAAGAGATTGGTAGAGAGAAAAAGACTGAAAATAGAGAGATTGACAAATAGAGACAGAAAGCAAGAAAGCAAGAAAGAAAGAAAGAAAGAAAGACAGATAGAGAATAAGAGAAAGGTGTATGAGAAAGAAAGAACAGAAAAGAAAGAAAGAAAGAAAGAAAGAAAGAAAGAGACAAACAAACAAAGATAAAGAGAGGGTAAGAGAGGGAGTGAAAGATCAAGAATTGAAAGAATGAGAGAGAGAGAGAGAGCGAGAGGTTGAGAGAGTAAGAGAGCAAGAGAGAGAGAAGGAGAGGGAGAAAGAGAAAGAGAGAGAGAAGTTGAGAGAGTAAGAGAGAGCAAAAGTGAGAGAAGGAGAGGGAGAAGGAAAGACAAAGAGAGAGAGAGAGAGAGAGGTTGATAGAGCCAGGTTGAGTGAGAGTAGAGATTAAAATGCAGATTCTTTGTAACTTTAATGTTTATTTTAGATCTTTGCTTTTCCTGAACTTCCAGCATCACAGAGTGAAAATGCTGAGAGTGACCACTGAACATCTACAGAACTACACACACACACACACACACACACACACACACACACACACACACACACACACTCACACTCTCTCTCTCTCTCTCTCTGAGTGTGTGAAGGTATTTGCAACTCAGCAGTCGTACAGCTGTAACCGAGCACTGTTTTACTGCCTTGAATCACTAAAACAAACATTCTCCTACCGTCTCTGCTGTCTTCATTAAATCAGCATCACAGACTGATGTGAGAATATATTTACTCTCATCTCCAGCCATGTGGTCCAGGATTAACGTCAGTCTGTGGAATCTTCATATATATATATAGATATTTATTCATCTGCTGTGGGTCAGTGGGGAGTGTTTGTGGAGAGCAGCCAGTTCTGACAGTGTGTGACGAAGCTGTAATAAACACTGTCCCAAACATGCTCCCACGCCCGCCTTTATTATCAGGGCTTATAATAAAACAGTTTACAGTATATTACAGTACTGTGTAGAAGTCAGAGCCACTTCCCGTCACTTATTTGCGGTCAAAACCAACTTCTAAGACTGAACTTTGAAGGTGCTGAAAAATATCACTGCAGATTTCCTTGAAAAACTGAAAGCAGGACTTATAAAAAGAATGGAAGGTGTAATAGAGGCAAATAATGGACACATTAAATATTAATATTATATTTATATATTGATGTTATATTTAATTTTCTCTGTGTAAATCTTATTTCTGTTAAATATGTTTTATATTTTTTCCTGCCATTGAAAAATTAATAACTTGAACTTAATGGCCATTTTGTCTAGAAATTAATTTGCACAGTAGTTAATACAAAATATAGCCTTATATGTCTTTTATATTACATGATTTGCTCTGTTTTATGTGAGTAGCCTTTAGGTTTTTATAATAATTATCAAAATGTATTAGAAAGTGCTTTTGAGCTTAGATGAACAAACTAAATTTCAAACTGAAAAAAATGATTCACAGACATATTTACAAATATACCTAATACATAAAATATATTACAATACAACTTTGTCATTCTGTTAATCATTATGTTAATATATATTGGTGTAAATAACAAACAAGTCAATTCAATACATTCTTTTTTTAGGCCTCATTTAAAGTCCATCTCGTCTACACCTAATCCTTGATGTCAAGCCACCATTTTAACGGAATAGTCCAGAATTTTTCAAGCTGATCCCCGTCTCCTGCATCTGTAGCATATGATTAAAAACCAAAATCATTTTCACCCATTTTCACGCATTTTAAAAGAACTGAAAACATGCACATTTTGTTTCTAAGCTCCCTGGACCAAAAATTAGTCACCTTGCATGTTTAAAGTCATGGTAACTTCAGGCTCCTGCAGATGGCATTGCACGTGGATGACCGGGTTATAATAATATATAATGATGGGATTCATAGATTGAGAAAATGTGGCCAAAAAGCAGATGTTAATGATTGGCAAAAAGGAATGAATGCATTTGCGCATGCCAAAGGCCATAGTGTGAAGGAAGTAGCTGTGGCCGAAAGACGTCAGGGACTGCGGGCATTTTTCATGGCTTATGAATAAAAATCGTGTTCTTTCAGAAATTGGTTGTGAAGGACCTGCATTGACTTCTAGAAGCAATTCTTGCCTGGAAGTGAAGTGATTTTTATTCATAAGCTCCTCAAACAAAAAATGATTCACCACTTTAAACATGCAAGGTGACTAATTTTTTGTCTGGGGAGCTTATTATAAGTGAAAAATGCTGGAGTATTCCTTTAACACCAGTCCAGTCTTGGGATTAAAGGAATAGTTTGATAAAAAATCTAATTCACACAACTGAGAAACTCTCTACCTCTCATTAATGAAGCAGGTATATAGACTGTAGATTATGTTCATGATTTCTGTTCTATGTTTAAACATATATCATCAGGCCAATAATTCAAGATTGACAGCTATTAATAAATAGAAACAACAGAAGTGATGAACGCCATCTGAATTTTAACACTTGTTGTCTAAAGTGACTGAGCGACCTTAAAGAAGGCCTGGATGCAGTTTGAGTGGATTGAGTAATGTTTTTAAGTTTGTATTTGCAGATAAGATTTGGGTGACTATTGATGTCTAGTTTTTGTTAGCAACATTAGCTTCGTAGCTCCAGTGCTAAACTGATGGAGGAAAATTTGGACACCAAACATCTTGGCTGATCAACTTCATCTGAGGAGAGTGGACAGTCGTGTTGATTAGATTTTTTTGGAACTGTTTCTTTAAACTTACTGCCTTTTGGTAAATAATATTAACATGCCTTATATACCCCAACAGAACAGTATGTACAGTATACAGTTAGAGGATGGAGAAATAATAGAAACACATTGTAAAATATATAAAACACACACATACAAACACACAGTAGCAGCTCAGTTACAAGCCCTGTCCTATTGTCTCTGATTGGCTGAGGGCAAGAGACACAGTGATGTAGTACTCTCTCTCCAGTCTTAGAGCTTTATGTGCAGAAACGCCATTGACATGGAAAGCTTGTTAATGTTATTATTTTAATTATGTTAATTGCCGCCACATCCACTCCAGAGGCTGGAAAACATGGTGTGGGGGGGGGGCGGGGGGGTCTTACACAAACTCACACACACACACACACCTTCTCTAACAGCCCATCACTCTGCCTAAGTCAACCACAAAGCAGTGAGGCTGAGTGAACAGCACTTTCAGTATAAAACAGCGCGAGTCTCAGTAAAGGCAGACAAAATGTGATGCAGCAGACTGTAATGGTGATAAGTAAAGCAGAGGAACCTCAGGGCTATACGGCCTAAACCTCGCAGAGCCTCAACACTTCAGGCAAACGCATATTA